CAGCCATGCTGGCTGGGGAATTCTGGGAGTTGAAGTCCATACATCTTAAAGTTGCAAGGTTGAGAAAGGCTGCCGTAAAGGGCTGATGAGGAATCTGAGTTGAAAGAAAGGCTGCTGCAAAGGGCTGGTGAGGAATTCTGGGAGTTGAAGTCCACACATCTTAAAGCTGCTAAGGCTGAGAAAGGCTGCTCCAAAGGGCTGGTGAGGAATCTGAATCTCAATTTATTAAAGACACTTACGTGTACAAAGGCTGTAGCTGCAGGTGCGACATCTTTTGAGGTGCTTGGTAGCCGTAGGAATCAAACCCTCCAATGAAATCGACTGTGGGGTGAAAAGACAAGAGAGCCATTGTTCTGACAAGCAGCTGGACAAAGAAGTGGCCGTGATCTTACTCAAAGGAAGCCACTTAGAGAAATTACAGTAACGCACCAGCCGTGCCGGCTGGGGAATTCTGAGAGTAGATGTCCACACATCTTAAAGTGCCAAGTTTGAAAGACACTGCAGTAAAGGGACAGGAGATTCTCTCTAAGTTGCCAAGGCAGATGTTCACGGATGAACCTCAGATTTTTTCTAACAATTTCTCTTTTCCCTCCACTATTGGTGTGCAGGAAGAACATTCAGGTTAGGAGTTCCCAATCCCTTCCCTCCCACCTTTTTTCTTTGTTTGCACTGATGGATGCATCAGAAATTTCAAAACCAGTCACTGGACCCTCAAATGACCAAGAAGCAGGTTGGATTTGCACAAACATGCAAAGCAACAAAGCCATTAAAAAAAAACAAACCCTAAACTAACTAAGGTTAACCCTAAGCCAGTTTAACGCCTTGCGCAAAGCCCCTGCTAGTTCAGCTTGCTGGCTGAAGGCAATCTGGGGAACCTACTTCTGTTATAGTTACCTACGTTGTATTGTAAAGGACCAGGGCCCTGGTCTGAGGAAGTGTGGGAAGTCTACCATTCCACTTTTTTCATGGCATCCAATTAGATTTACTGCTTTATTATTTAGCGAAATTTGCATTCCGTTCTGCTCCAGAGACTCTGAGTGGCTGACATCCAGATCATAAAACCATAATGAAAAGCTAAAAATAACAGGGCATAAGTCAGAGTTTTAAGAAACCATCTCGGATATCACTCCTAATCTCCAAAGGCTTCTTACGGAGTCAGCCAAGCCGTTTGTTGTTCTGCAAAAGGGCAGCGGTGTTGGGTCCCGTGGATATGGGGGCAGAGTTTTCTGCAAAGACAAGCCACCTATTGAAAAGGCTTCCTGGCCCATCCTCCTTCGCTGGCCAAGGAGGGGAACCCAGAGGGTCTCCACATGGGTTAAGTTAACCAAGGGTTAAACAAAGGGAAGGTACCCCAGCCCACAATCACCCCAGTAGGGGCAAAACAGATATTTTATCTATCAAAATTAGCAAAGCATACAGTGATGTTGATACTTCCCGCTCATCTTCTTTTTATTCTGTATTGTCTGAGCCTTTCAAATATGCTTTTAATGCATTTTTCATATTAATTTTGCTGCAGCCAAGGCTGCCATTTCATCTTTTTAATGGAGTGACTTATTAGATCTGAAAATAATTCAATGAATGTCAAAAACCAAAGCTCTCTCAAAACCCATGGGAGGGGGTGGAGTGGGGGGAGAGGGAGAAGGAACACAGGCTTAAGAGGACCCATTTTGGCCCACAGAGCTAGAGAGAGAGCATGCTAATGCTTATAATTTGCCATTCATGAATAGGTCTTTTCATGTGTAAAGCTTATTAATAAAGTTCATTGGTATCAAATCACACAGCTCCCATGCTGTTAGGAGCTCCTGCCGGGATTAAAATTTATACAAGCCGCTTATCACATTAGATAGGAAGTCCCTTATTTCACACCAAGGTTTTAATTTTCCACTACAGCTATTGGGACTTTTATCAGACCATGTTATCAGCCTCTGGGTGGCAGGGCAATCTTTCTGGAAAAATGGCTAAAATGGCTTTCATTTATTTCTTGGGGAAGACAAGGATATGGAAGAAAAGGAAAAAGTGAAAGAAACTAGAATGAAGTACAAATCCTACATGAAAAAGCATTAGAAGATGGTTTAATGGAAATTAATTAATGGAAAAGGGATGTACAAAAAGAAAATGTGGCAACTGCTTGGAACAGAGTAAAAAAAATTCTATGACAGAGTGTCGCAAGAGAATGTGAACTTATTTTAATGGGAGGTTTGAAAAAGGATTCTTGGCAGTGTGATGAAGTGAAAGAAGCTGTGGATGAGGAAAACGCACCTAAGAGAAGGAGTGCTGAAAAAAAAATGAAGATGAGCAAATCATGTATAATGTACGCAGAAAGGAAAAGACAGTTGCAAAGATTAAAAGAAGTAGAGAAATACAGAACTATTTTGTAATGGTGTGTAGGAAAGACCTTGGGAGACAAAGGAAGAGATGCTGGCTAGGGGATGGTCAGATAAGAGAGAGCATAGCCCGCAGCTGGGTAGTGGGCGGGGCAAGAGGCTCAGAAGAGACCTCCCCAAGTTCTTGGGCTGTAAAGGAGAGTGGGGGGAGGACTGTACTTTCAGACTTGCAAGATTCTGTTAATGTAGCTTTATGATAAAGTAGAATTAGCTCATCTGGTCGTGTTTCCTGTCTGGTCTACATGGTAAGGCTGACAGATTTTGATGGAAAACAAAAATTGGTGTTGCAAGTGGATGAACAAGGGCCCTCCATCAGAGTGAATGGAATTAAATATAAAAGTGAGATGACTGAGATGATTTGGGATGAAGTAGAAGTGAGGGGATGCTGGAGGATATACTTTAGGGACCTAAATGGGGAAATGATAATGATATGTTGAAGAGGGGAAAACTGAAACAAACACTATAAATCAGAAGAACTCAAGATGGTGTAACCAGAAAACTGTTAAAATAGTGGTTATCTTATGAATGTGTGTGAAGACATCGGTCTGTGCCTTACAGTAGGACAAATCTTGTTATTGTTCCCCTCTACAAAGGAAAAAGGAACGAGAGCAAATGCCAAAACTACAGGGAGATTAGTTTGTTAAGTGTCACTTCCTCATGAGATGGGTGGTGACCAAATTTGAAATATAAATAAATAAAAATAAATAAGTGTGTCTGGGAAGGTGTTTAGGAGAATTCTATCAAAAGAGTACAAGAAGCGACAATGAGCAGATCTAGGCTGGCCAGTCCTGGAAAAGTGGAAAGTAGGAGAAAGAAGTGCCAAATAGCCCTGCCTTGATTATGTTTGTCATAAGAGAAGGCAGAAAGAAACTCTGAGCAGCTTTCAAGATGGATGTCGGGGTAGGCCAGGTCAGGAAACACACACAGCAGAGAATCCAGCAATGCTACTTTATTTTTGAGGTTATAATAAGAGAATCTTGGAAAACCCGTCAGTTTCTCTCTGCTCCATTTCATATCAAACAGAAACAAAGCAGGGTTATTTTGAAGTTCTTTCTCACACTGTCCACTTTCCAAGGATGAAGTGGCCGTTTCTCCTTCCTTAGTGGCTTATCTATTCCTTCACTGAGGTCATCTCTACATTTCTTTACAGCTACCCACTTTAAAAAAAAAAATCATTTAGCACTGCTGGGGCAAGGAGAATGACCAGATCCGGGTTGCTAAAATTTGGACAACCTTGTAATAATGACATCCTAAATTGTAATTAATATTGATAGAATACTTCTTCTTCCTTTATTTGCGACGGTCTAAGTTATCTAAACAATAGAGTGTCAAAAATCTTCAATTAATACTGTATAAATAGCATTGTATTGAAACAATATCATCTAATAAGATTTACAAAAACATAATAAGAAAGAAACAGAGAAAAAAATAGACAACCTTTAAGCAGCAAAAAGCGGAACACAATTTTTTTTTTGCTGTCCTCTCACGGTTGACCGAATTCTTATAAATCTGGCAGCATCAGTGACAAGCCATCTCTGCGTCAACCTATTATTTCAATCAGGGGGAACACTGCCACTTATTCAGTGGGGTACCTAGATACTTACAGCTGTCTTCCTCCTCCATAAACATTTTGCTGACATAGCAGGCGTAAACAAATCCAAAAAGCTTCAAAATACATGTTTTGAAAAAGAGAGAAACACAAATTAATTATTTGAAAGCAAGAAAATGCACCAATTAGCTGACTATCACAACAATATCACACCGGGATTCAACCATTTAAGCTGATAAGGGAAAAACACTGGCAGCCATGTTGATTTCTTCCATGTATATCTCTGCTGCTGTTTCAAATAACTCTTGACCGTACTGGTCCATTGGCTACAAAATTTGAAAGAAAGAAGAGCAATAGCACAGGAGTGAGGTGGGGTGAGAATTTAAAAGTTTCAAAGAAGTAAGCAAACTGTCAGGCTGCAAAGGGAGTGAGAAAAGCAGGTTAAGAATTTGCAAACTTTTAGATATTTACCAGGAAGCAGATCTGACTGATCTTTGTCACTGGGGCTCATTTAACCAATTAAACCTGCTTAACTTAATACGGTTGCTGCGTTCACATAACATGTTATATTACATGCTCTGTGGCTGGTATAAATTGGACAAACCATACAGTTTTATGCAGGGGAGGGGGACCTGTGCCTTCCAGGCTTTCTGAAACTCAACTCCCAGCATCCATCACCAGTGGCCATGTTGGCTGGAGCTGCTGGGAGTCATTGGTTCCCCACTGCAGGAGTCCAGAGGTCCATAGAATGGGAATGGTCCAGTCCATTGAGCTGGTACACCAATGTTGTCTCTTTCTGGAGAGATACATCCTTGTGGGGGAGTTGGGCGGTGATATAAATTTGACATATAAATAAATAAATAACTAAATACATCTACTCACAATTGTGTATGGGTTTTCTTCACCTCCAAACTAAATTACTGACATGTGTCATACAGAGTTCTGGAGGCTTAGTGACCATCCAGGAATTTCAGCTCTTTGTAGGCAGGATCAAACATCAGCCATTTACAGTTCCCAACAATCAAGACCAACAATCAAGACCAACTGAGAGTCCCAGAAACGAAATGGACTTTTTGAAACGGATGTTACATCAGTTCGAAACTGAGAACTGAATGTCCTCCCCAAATGAGAATATGCACCCTTCTTCCTCACAACTACCTTCAGCAAACAAAATTTAAAAATGAAATCCAGTCACAGATTTCCCAACAAAGCACACAGCTTGGCCTCAACAGGTTTTTTCATTTTTAAATTCCTTTCCTCTCAGGCACTGTATTTGTTCCTAGGATATCAGTGGTTTTGGCAAGGACAACACTGAGATTTATTTTCCCACATCCGCCCCTTTGTTCTCCTTGGCTTATCAATCTTTCTTTCCCCTTTAGCTTTCTTGGCCCACAACAGTTTAGCAATTTTCGTTTCTCTCCTAAATTTCCCCCACCCCTAAAGCTGAAACTGGACTGGAGGTTGTTCCTCCTCTTTGCTCTTAAGTAAATAGCTAGTAAAGGGCAAGAGCTAGCCAGCTTTGGGCCACGGCAAAGGGGACCCTTTAGGAACCTTTGCTCCCAACACAATTCAAAGGGAACTGAATCTTCATCAGTCTTGTTATTGGCACTAAGAAGAAAGCTCCTTTCAGTAACATGGGTAGAAATAAGCTGGCTATGACATTCACACTCATTTCATAGTCATGGAAGTGTAATGTGTGCAGTTCCACATTACATTAAAGCTGCAAATGTACAGTGCTTAACACAGTTGCAAAAAATACTATCTTCGGAGAGGCAAGTTGATGATGATGATAAGAGCTACCAGATTTAAGGTTTAGGGCTGCAAGGCCAGAACTTGTATGGCTCAAATCAATCCCTTTACACTATATTAAGAGGTTAAAATTATTTTTCTCTCCCCTTTTCATGATTCAGCTATTTTGATTTTACTCACATTCTTAACTTTCTTTGTTGCTTTTCTTGTATTTATGAAGACTGCACTTAGGAAGACTGGTCAACAACCTTAAATAACTTTACAACTTACTACTAAGGGGAGGTGGTGAAATTTTGAGACCACACATTCTGGGTGCTCTAACAGAATGGCTTCCAAAGGCAAAGTTTTGAAGTTCTTCCCTGCTACTTCTTTTAGACAGCCCTGACCAACCTTGCCTTCTTTTTCTGAGCAGGTGGACACACTTCTGTGCACTGTGCCCGAGTTATCCCAAATGTGTGAAAATGTCTAGGAATGCCACCAGACCCAGTTCAGAGCCCAGAGGTATTCTTGGATTGTCCTTGCTTGCTTGCTTCCTCCCTCCATCCCTCTATTCCAGATGGAGAAGGCCTCCCTCCCTCCCCCTCTCCATTCAAAATGGTGGTCTTCCTCCCTCCCTCCCTCCCTCCCTCTGTTTCTTCAGCTTAATATGCCACTCCAATCATAACTGGCTCTGAGCAGCATAGATACCCAATACAGTAATCAGATTAAATACATAGGAAATGTATTCCAAAATACCCCAGGCATCGCTAACAGGACTCCCAGACAACATTACCCATTGCCAAAGAGATCAAAGAGAGCATCTCTGATCCCAAAGCCATGCTGGAAATGCCAGTCTCAATAGCTTTTCAAAAATCTAGGAGGGTAAGGGCCAATCTGAACTTCAGGGAAATGTTACTCCAGAGAAGAAGACAATGATTGACAGAGTGATACTGGAGATACACTATTTTACTTTACAGAGTGTCAGCTTCCCATTTAATTTTTTAAATTAAAATATCTGTTTTTTTAAATTAAAAAATGGTAGAAAACCGGAAGAGCACAAAGGGAGGTGACCATGTTGTCCATATTTGATAGATACTGAACGTATCTTCTGGATCAAAAGGGAATCAGCAGCAAACTTTTTTCTTCTTCAATGGGTGTGAATTCTGCAACAAAAACTGACAGTAGAATCTTTACTGTCTCATTTTTTATTTTTTATTTTAGAAGTGATGGAGCGGAAGAGGCAACTGAGGAGAGATACTGACACCACTTACCGCAAGAAATATCTGCATTGCACTGCTCACCACCTCAATATATTGATAATCAAGCAAGCATCCAGTGACTGTGATGACGTGATGGTCTTCTAAGGCCAGGTTGGAGTTGATCACTGGGATCACCAGGCAACCAGGACCATTCTCCATCCACCATGAGCGATGCAATGACGTGTTAAAGGTCATGATGAAGTCTCGGTCCTACAGAAATGGGAGAAGATGAATTCAGATGCTGTTGTTTGGATCATTATAAAGATGGAGAACCTTTGTGTGTTCAACAGCTAAAGGAAGACCTACCTAAAACCTAAATCAAAGCACATTATCTTCTCAGCTGCCTCCCTTGCAATATGGCACTCAAAGGATTTGAGAAGAGAAGTGATTAGTCCCAGCGCCATGTGACACTTCTAGAAGGAGCTCTGCTGTGCTGAAACCTGCCTAGGAATTTCTCATAATTTTTGTTCTTTGCAAAAGAGGCTTATTTTCAGGGTGCTTGAGAATTTATTTCCAATTTATCTTTGAAACTTTTTAAAGAAGCAAAGGCTTTCATTCTGAAGTCTCTCTGGCTGTCCACACTTACTAATCTGAAAAACCCGCATGGGAGGAATTCCCTCCTGATGTCTTCCTTTAGGAGTTAAGCAAAAAATGAGAAGTCAGGCAAGTTACAGAGTACTAGAGAGAAGATGGTACAATAAAATATGGGGCATTCACATACCCCTTGGTCATTCTGTTACTAAATAAATGCATTCCATCCATAAGAAATTTATAGAAAACTTCTTTGTCTTTGAAAGAAATCTCAAACACAAATTCTCTTTCATGAAATTGAATGAGAACTGGCAGGAAAAAAAATGCAGAACAATTTTCTCCATGACATTGCCCTGAATGTCTGATGCAATCCAATACAAACTGGACCATAACTCCTATCAGTCCCAGCAAGCATGACTGATAAGCAAAAGTGATGAGAACTCAGGTTTAGAACATATCTAGGCACTTAGTCCTCATTAGATCTTTGCTAGGTTAGAAGAAGGCAAGCCCGCAACAACATGATTACTCCTTATTAATAGAATATATAAACAAGATGACTGGCAATGATCAGTATTACTATGGTATTTGGGCACCAACTGGAGAATTTGACAAACATGTAATCCACAGGCTCAGACCAAAATGGGAAAGGAGCCAAGGATAGCAATACACACAGTTATTTGAAAATCAACCCATCAACTTAGCTTGAAGACTTTAATGTACAGTAGTCAAAACAGGGATAGGAGTAAATGGAATTATGTGTTGTAGGCATCTCTTGCTCCTTTAACACTCTTCCATCTCCTTGATGGTGAATACTGAGGCTACTTAACAGCATCTAGTGAAGCCTTCCTATCTCTGGAAAACAATAACATCCCTCTGTTTTATGTGCATTGCAATCTGATACTGGTTAACTTGCAGTGGGAGCAAGCTTCCATGTTAAAGCCATATAGCAATCTGAACTTCTAGCCCTTCCATCTTGACTGCTAGAAAAACTCCAGACCCATTTATGCTGCTCAGTTCAAAACTTCAGAAAAAGAGTAGGCAACCCAGCAGAGAGCTATCCAAGGCAGACCTGTGATAGAGGACTATGAAGTTTCTTCATATTTGATGAAACCAACCTCATGATGGTCAATGGGGCTCAGGAATATTACAAATCGATCACTGTAGGGTTCTTATAATTGTCAAAAGTAGAGAGTGGAGTGGCTCACATTGTCGTCAACAGAGTCATGAAAAATCGATCTGTGCTTCCATGTTCATGACAAAAAGGGCCAACTGGTCAAAATGGACCAATTGTAGGTCTGCCTAGATGAGGAACCAATCAAGAACTAGCTTTTTTGGACTCTTGTGATATGGACTAATCAGAGATCAACTTGCCAGGGACAAGCGGGTACAAGAGCCCACTCAATTCCTGTTTGGTTGCCTGTGAGCTGCCGAGAGGTACACACAAAGCAGCTCACTCTGCTTCTGAAGATGCCAGCCATAGTTGCTGGTGAAATGTCAGAACAACAGAAAACAGACCACAGTCACTCAGCACAAAAGCTTATTACTGCTTCATTGACCATCTGGCTTATTTATTGAGGTGTGAGAAACATATGTATTGTCGAAGGCTTTCACGACCGGCATACGATGGCTGGTGTGGGTCTTCCGGGCTGTGTGGCCGTGTTCTTGAAGTTTTGTTTCCTACGGCATCTTCAGAGTGCAGGAGCACAGACAGGAGCAGTTCTCTCTGTGCCCAGGGTGATGT